CAATGTGCCACCACTTTAGGATGTAATCTATGTTCTTTTTGAAAATACAAACTTTGTATTTTTAAATTTTGTTTAAAAAAAAAGAAAAAACTCTAAACGAAATCTTTTATTTAAAATAATTATTTAGTAAAAACAATAAAAAGAGGCATGCAAACACTCGAACTTGGGTCTGTATATTAAAAACCAAACATCTTGCTAACATGTCAACACCCTAAGAAGTAAACATTGTACTCTTCTACAAAAACAAAAGTTCTAATTTAATTTTTAAACTAAAAAAAAACGAATTTTGTTAAATTTAAACAAAAAAATAATTTTTTATGTATTTTGACATTAAAAAAATTTTTTCAAGAAAATCTTTTATTTCTAATTAAAAAAAATCAATTTTACTTAAAACAAATTGTTAAGATCTTTTTTAAAATGATAATCATCATTTAAAAAAAGATTTCATTCTTCTAACAACTTATTGTAAATTACAAATGTTACAAGATTAAAACAAATCCTAGAAAACTTTTCTGTAAATCCTCTATTTTTTAAATCTCTGCAGCAGAAATTCTCTTTCTAAAAATAAATAAAAAAATTAAGAAAACAAAATTAAGAAMTTTTGAATGGAAATTTTAAASAATCCAATTTATTTTTAAAAGATTTAGTTTATAAAACTCTTATTATTATTATTTTTAACTTACAAAACTTTAATGCAAAATCTTTTATTTAAATGAAATTAACTTTTTGTTACTTTATTTAAAAATTATTTTATTTTACTTTTAAAAAAAAATTATCTACATTATTTTTCAAAACTTATTTTAAAAAGTTTATTTTCTTTAAAAGGAAAATTTTTATTTTTTTGTTAAAAATAAACTTTTTTTATTATTAAAAGAAATGTAGGGGTATACTGTGCAAAAATTTTTACCATAGATGTCGTTCGTCGTGTTAGAGTGGGTCGCTGGACTCTTGGTCGTCGTCGGTCAATCACCGGAGGTCTGTGAGGTGTGCACCAGAGTCATGTTGTGTGTCGGTTCTATTGAACCGCTTTCAGAGACTAAGGGAAAAAATAAAAAATAAAAAATAAAAAAATTTCTTTACCCAAATCATTCTTCTGTGTGCTCTCTGTTTTTTCTCTCCTCCTCTGTGTGTTGTGTGTCCTTTAAATATACCAAAAAATAACAGTAACATGCGTGAGTCAAGAAAAACCAGAGAAAAAGAGGGAAGGGAAAAGTTCGGTTTTGACGAACGAAAAACGGGAGGAAAAACAAAATGTTTATCATTAACCAAAACAGAATCTAAATTTATTTAAAACAAAATTATATAAATCAAATCAAATCTTTTTATTTCTTTTATTTTAATATTAAATCAAATTCTTTAAAATAAAATTTATTTTTTTTAATTTAATTTAAACTTTAGCTTATAACCAATAATAAAGTAATCCTATAGTATTTAATAAAATAAAAATTAAATAATTAAAACTAAAACTAAAATAAAGCCGGACCAAATACGGTGTCTACAAAGCTATACATTTATATATATTTAAAATTTAATTATATATGCTGTTTTTTTATTATTTTCTCACTTTCATTATTTTAAAAATTAATGTCAAATATTTAATAGTTAAACATTAATAAAAGGTATATTCATTCAAATATGAAATTACCGTAAAAAATTATATTATAAAAATATTAGGTAGGAAAAATATTTTTGGACACTTTTGTCCCTTACTAATTTTACTAATTTACAAACTAAGCCTTTAATATATTATTATAAATATTAATTAATTATTAATTATCAATTGTTAATACTAATAAATGCATAGAATTTAAAACGTTAGAATGCAAAAAGTTTTCCTAAAACATGAAATTAATTTTTTTCTTTAATTATAATTCATACTAGAATTTCAAGAGTCTTAGAATTTCAAAAGTTTTTGTAACTTCTTTTCTACTACTATAAAAATAGGCTTCTTCCACCATATTTTTCACAACACTTAGAGTTTCACTATTTTATTCTTAGTTCTCTCAAAACGTGTGTCAAAAATTATTCAATCTTGTAAACTTCTTGAGATGTTGGTGGCCTATTCATCAAGAGTTGCAAGAGATGGATATACATCGAGTTGCAAGAGATACATATTCATCAAGTTGCAACGGATGCACGTGTCAAATATAT